GAGCCACAGAGGAGCCTTTCGGTTAGCAAGGTCAATTTTACTGTTATTAAACTACAATTCTCCATGATTTTCTCTTGTACATTCATATCTGCTCAATGCGTATCTAAATGACAGTTCCGTATAGGATACAGGTTCGATTCCTGTTGGAGGATGCATATTTTTTTATGAAAATTTCTCAGATATTCAGGCCGGTAAATGTCATTAATATTGTTTATTATAAACAGAGCATTTACTTAAATATTTGTATCTATAAAAAGAACATATAAACATAAAAAAAATTTAGAAAAAAAAAAAAAAAAAGTCTTAAAAATAATTGTTGGACTTTGTCCATTTCATATATATATATATATATATATATATATATATATATATATATATATATATATATATATATATAAAACATTGGGTGGGGGATGGGATAGCACAAAAGATTTGTCTTGAATTGAAAGTTGCCACCACTTGTATTTATTCTTGAAAGAATAAAAAAAAAAAAAAAAAAATCACCTATCCACAATTTGGTGGTGTAGATGGATTTTACAAGGACACAAATCAACCACCTTGTAAACACGAGACAAAGTCTCTGCACATTATGCTATAAAACAATTTAACTCAAAATTTAGTTGACAAATCATAGCATCCAACATACCAAATGTTTGGCACAAGGCCAGCATCATTGGCAGCCAGATGAAATGATTTGTGATAAGTTTGTCAACCATCACTTGAGGCAGGCATTCTGAAATTGTGGCAACTAGAATATGTATTTTAGATTTTACAAGAACAAAATAAAAATTGTGGGGGAGGAGGTTGCCCATTATTCAAAGTGGCCAATTTCAGATGAAGAGGAATGCTGGGCAACCCCCACCCCTAGTCCACGTCAGGGCTGTTGAAAAAGAGAACAGATAGATTTAACATCATATGACAAATCACGTGTTCCACTTGTATAGTCAAAGACTACATTGAATTGCAAAAAACCCTGAAAACTCTAGACACGCCCAAAAAAAAAAAAAAAAAAAAAAAAATCGAAATTATACTTGGCTTAAACACAAATCTATCCTCAAAAACTGCTTAATCCATACAGCCTCTCTCCCCCCAACTTTGTCCAAATGCATTCAATTGAATTCTTAATCAATGCTGAGTTTTGCCAATCATGGAAATTGGTAAATTTATATTTTACAGTTCTGGAATTTCAGATTAGACCCTAAGAATCTTAGGAGATGGAGTGGAAAAAAAAAAAAAAAAAAAAAAATCTATTTTTAGTCTCTAAGAAGGACACCAGATTGGGAGGGGGGGGGAGATTGCCCCCCACCCCACTTCATTCAAATATATTGGATAGGTATTAAAAAAATAGACCTTACATTTGGAGAGAATAGTTTTGAAAAAAATTCCAACATACTATACTCATTTTTCTGTGTTCCACCACCATCTACTTCTAAAATGAGTAAGTTTGGAACCATTAAAAACATTTTACTCAAGTTTTGAAATAGTTCTCACCCCCAACATTATTCTTCACTTAACCATTTTTTTATTACTTCATAACAATAGTCTTGCTCACACACTGCCCTATTTGTAAAGATGGTAAATCTGTATTGAATTTTGAAAGCCTCAGCCTATCCATTCCTGATCAATCATATTTACCGATGCCTCAAATTTTACCATTTAATCAAAGACATAAAAAAATATTTACAGCCTTTCATGGAGGCTAGATTGGAAAAAAAAAAAAAAAAAAATACTGCTCCCCCACCCAATCCTGTCAAAATTAACCCCCAAAAACAAAAAAAAACAACACATTGTATACACAATTTTAGTATTCTGCATTGTTTGCAAAAAGTAATTTTTTTTTTTCAATATTTTAAGCATACAAGTTGACCGTCAGATAAAAAAAAAAAAAAAATTCTTTCCTAACAAAAACATCTTCCCTACAAATCACCCCATTTTCTTTCTTTTACTTGATCATGAAGTTGATTGTAGAATTCTTGTATCAATAATGAACTGATCAGCGATTGTGTGTCCTCTGTAAAAGTCCTGTCTTAAACCCAGAGAAACTTTGTTTTTTTTTTGAGGATGACTGCAGGTGAATCGAAATATCCAGGCAGCAACAAAAACGGACAATTTTAATATTTTTTTTTTTTAACATTTGATTTGAAAATTTAATAAAAAAAAATAAAAAAAATTACACTGATCACTTCTCTCTGATATTAAACCATTGCATTTTTTAAATTGTCAAGTGAAATACTTGTTATCTGCAATAATAACCATACTTGTGTTTAGACTTATCCCCCAGGGGGACAAGAAAAAAAAAAAAAAAAAATTACAGGAGGGGTTGGGGAGAGATATCCTGAAAACGAACAGACATTTGATTTTTAAAAAAAAAAGGGGGGGGGTATTTTGCACTATCAGGATTTATAGATTTTCATTCAAAACAAACTAGATAAGTGAACACGTGTCAACTGGGAAAGGTTGCCCTCTTTCCATTAAATATAAGGTGACACAAAAATCAAGTTTTACTTGTACATTTTATTTTAAAGAAAAAATTTAAAAAAATAAAATAAAGAAGAAAGTTTCTCTCCCCTTACAGAATTATATTAGCCACAATCCAGTTCTTTAGAGCACTTTCTGGTGAAAGTTAATAAAAGATAGTTGTTCAATGCCAACCACTTTGAAAGCATTACTAATAAGAACATCTACATGGACCTTGACAGAAAAGAATTTTTTTTTTTTTTTAATTGGATAACAATTAAAATATTTTGTAAAGAATGAATTTTGTTCTGCCCATTATGAAGAAAGAATCATTTCTTTAAAAACCTCCCGTCCACTTTTGTGAAAATGAACATTTTCTCAAAAGAAAGCAAATGATCCTAAAATTCAGGTTCAATTCAAAAAGTGTAACACCATTCCAGACCCCAACTGCACCCATATTTAAAAAAAAAAACAAAACATGGCTGTTCTAGATTCTTACATTTTGGTTTTTAATTAATTAAAAATAAAAAATATTCAATTAAATTACCTTGAGGGAAAGGATTTCTTAAAATAATGCTAAGAACAAACTTAACTTTTTTTCTTTTTTTTTTTTTAACAACAGTTTGCTCATGTATGCAAGAATTGGGTTACTTTCTTTCATCACGGATTCAACACCTTGTGAGAGCTGTCGTCTCAATTTACCTGATATTATCATCAAACCATTTTATAAAGATCACTTAAAAGCTCTTATAGCATTCAGTGGTCTCTGATAATGTACTGATGTCCCAAATTCAAGCCAAATCATTCCTTACCCACCCACTGCCCTAGTCAAACACCAAACATCTGGATCCAATTTAGCCCTATGCTTCAGTTGTAAATTCGATGACTTCGTTAGGCACAAAGCCAGGGTCAAGTTTAACATCATACTTAAATTACAAATTGAACCCTTACTTTAGAACCACAGCACTTTCCATTTACAAGCTAAATTTTCTCGAAAGTAAACGGGATAGAAACAAAATGGCCGTTTTCATAATGAGCAGAATAGATTTGCATAGGAAAATATTAGTTTTATATTAACCGAATCTTGACCAAAGATTATCACAAGTGTAAACTTCAACTTTGGAGATGAGATAAAATTTTCAATTTACTTCATGGCGGATGTTCAAACATATATATCACACCTTCAAATAAGTATACCTGAATCAATTTATGATAGAGAGGAAAAAAAAAAAAAAAGCACAAGCAAACAAAACTATATCATTTTTTCGTATAATTTTCCCCACCCTTCTTTCTGGTTATCTGCAGATGACACCCTCTTGACAAAAAAAGACACCCTCTTTGCTGTACCCTGCCTCAATTACCAATTTAAGAAGTCATCAGGAAACTTATTTTTAATTAATGTAATTAATTTTGCTATTTACTAAGCTTAGCTTAGTTTGACACAAGCGTTGAACACCCAGTCATAATCAGACTCACTTTGGTACTGATTTACCAGATTAATTCGTTCACTAATCCTTTGTGGTAAAGTGCTCGTCATACAGCGCGTTTTTTTTATATTTTATACCGTGTTCCATGGAAACATAGTAATCACCGAAAACGAGACGCTGAATGTATGGTCCAAACAACAAAACATTGTCTTTTTTTTTCCAAAATTCTTTGCATCAAATCGTCCTGATTTTGTAATAGAAAAAAAAAAAAAAAAAAAAAAAATCATTTTTTTTTGCACCTCAATTGTCAGGAACAAGAAAATCAGACGGTCAACTTGTATGAAAGATTTAAAAAAAAAAAAAAATAAAAAAAAAATAATAAAAAAAAAATAATAATAATAAAAAAAAATAATAAAAAAATAAAATAAATAAATAATAATAATTATTTATTTTTTTGTCAGTGAGAAGGGTAAAATTAGGGGTGAAGATTAGGATGTGTCTAAAGATGGCAGGGTAGAAAGGGTTTCAAAGCAGGAATTTTTTTTTTTTTTTTTTATATGCCACAAGGACAGGAGAAAACCTAAAGATCACTAAGGTAGAAATGAACTAAGGAGTGATGAATAGGGTGGCATAAGTCCAGCTTTGGGTACTAAATAAGGCATCACTCTTATTGACTTAACATTTTATTTTGTTTGCCACACACACACAAAAAAAGGGGGGGGTCAGTTGAAAGGACCTAGGGAGATAGATTTTATTCTAAAATTGTTATTTTAGTACTTGAACAAAAGTTTTATATCATTATTATTCAAAAAAGAAAAAGAAAAAGCCTAATCAATTTATTTATTTATTTATTTTTTTTTTTTTTTTTTTTTAGAGATTTTCTTTTACTGAATCCTAAGTCCTGTTTCAATATAAGGGCAGTGTTATGAGGGGGCAACCACAAGGAAGAAAATCCCCCCCAAACCCCTGTTCAAAGTCATTTAAAATTATTTTGATGAATAAAGAATCCTATTTATAATAACCTAAATGATTAACTTCTATTTGTGGTAAATATACTTTACCTGACAAAAATAAAATAAAACCCAGATATTGGCACACATTATATAATTCATATTTTCAAATAAACATGGGGGGGAGGAGAAGAGAGAATGTGAAAGAAAGTGGGAAGAGAGAGAGAGAGAATGTGAAAGAAAGTGGGAAGAGAGAGAGAGAAAATGAAAGAAAAAGGGAAGAGGGAGAGAGAGAAATGTGAAAGAAAGTGGGAGAGAGAGAGAGAATGTGAAAGAAAGTGGGAAGAGAGAGAGAGAGAGAAGAGAGAGAGAAAGAAAGTGGGAAGAGAGAGAGAGAATGTGAAAAAGAAAGTGGGACGAGAGGGAAGAGAGAGAATGTGAAAGAAAGAGAATGTGAAAAAAGAAAGTGGGACGAGAGAGAGAGAGAATGTGAAAGAAAGTGGGAAGAGAGAGAGAGAGAATGTGAAAGAAAGTGGGAAGAGAGAGAGAGAGAATGTGAAAGAAAGTGGGAAGAGAGAGAGAGAGAGAATGTGAAAGAAAGTGGGAAGAGAGAGAGAGAGAGAATGTGAAAGAAAGTGGGAAGAGAGAGAGAGAGAGAATGTGAAAGAAAGTGGGAAGAGAGAGAGAGAATGTGAAAGAAAGTGGGAAGAGAGAGAAAGAGAGTGTGAGGCCTAACCCACTTTTATTTTTACTGAATCATGAGTCCTGATGTAAAGTCAGTGTTATGATAATCACAATGAAGGAAGTATTTTTTTTTTCATTTTAATTGTGCAAACATTTAAATTCTACGCTCTCGATTCTAAAAGGACACAAATTGCAGATATTTTCCCAATTCTGTTACACATTAAAATTAATATTAAAAAAAAACGTATATATCTCCATTTTGTTATGAGGATTAAAATCAAACACTTTCTGCCTATTAAACAAGATTTGTTGAAAAAAAAAAAAAAAAAAAAAAATAGCAACAGAGACTTATATTTACAAGATGTAAAAAGTTAAAAAAATGGTTTGACAAGAATTACTGGTCAGATATGCAATCTTTTTGTATATTTACTGCTGTTAATAACATTTCAACAGGCTCATGTTCAGCCTTCATCAGACGTAATTGGTATAGAGGTGAGAAGAAAAAAACTCCTGCAGTTATCTGTTAATAACTTCTCAAAAATCATTAATAAAATTTGCAATAATTATAAGTTTGAACAAGTTATTCACTTAAATGGTTTTTGTTTTTCTTCCTCGTGGTTACACTTGAGGATCGCTGACAAATGAGTCAGCAGATATGTTGCAAAACAACAGGAAATAAACAGTAGATTTGAATGCTTAAGGAGTGTTCGATGCACAACGTTTTCGTTTTTTGTAATAAACAGGGGAGACTACTGATAGGAAGTTATGGTAAGAGTTATCTGCTCTTTAGATTTCAGCTAATAATGCTTTTCTACTTTTGTTTAAATGTACTGTTGAATGCAAATGAAATATTTTTTTTTAAACATCAAGGACAATACTGGAGAAAATGTATGACAAAGTGGGAAAAACGTTTTCTTGTGATGCGTTTCGGCCTTTAGGACTTCATCGGTCTAAATTATAACAAATTTAGTCCGATGACGTCCTAAAGGACTAAATGTGCCACAAGAAAACTTCTGCCACACATTCTTCCCAATATTGTTCATATATATATATATATATATATATATATATATATATATATATAATAATAAAACAGACACCCAAAGCTGTTTGGGGAGGGGTAATAACAAGTGAGGGGTAGCTTTTATTTTTCAAAATTTTGGGTGTAGAATGGGAGGAAGAAAATATTAAAAAACCACCATTGTGAAATGGATTTAGAAAAAGGAAATAAATAGATATATAAAAATTAATTTAAAAAAAAAAAAAAAAAAAAAAAAAAAGAAAAAAAAAAAAGTCCTACTGTAGTATTTGTCAATACCTCTTCAGGGATCATTCAACTTTCCCCAGACACTAGTTTTATTCAGGACTAGATTTGGGGAAATAAAAAAAAAAAAAAAGTCTACTCAAGAGATTTTGTTGTAGGAACACTCAGCCTATATGTATACACTCGACATGTAATTATACACGTTAATTGTGTCTATGAATGAATGCAACATATACATAAAACAATTCCTTTCGCACAAAAACTTTCTTACAAAAAAAAAAAAAAAAAAAAAAATTTCATGTAATCAACAAAAATAATAATGCATTTTTTCTTGACACACATACAAATATTGGGAAAATGTGTCTCTTGTGTGTGTCGACATTTTACATACCTTTGAACATAGACATAAAAAAAATTTGAAAACAGTTAAAACTGTGTGTGTGTATATACATTGTGTGTATGTTAACATATGTATACACACATTAGTATGTATGTAGTGTGTTTGTGTATTTGGGCTAGACTTGTTCTTTGTGTTTGCAGTGAAGTCACCAACCATCAAGAGGTAACATGGCTTGGGAACTTCCAACAATAAAAAAATAAAACAGGATAAACTCCAAACACAAAAATTGGGGTCTTAACCCCAAATAAACAAACATTTTTTTTTTTAAATTTTAATTTTCTTTATATTTCTCCATCGAATTTGTCATAAAGATCTTGGAAATTGGCTTTATGACTGAAGATGAAGGAACAGCTTCCATTCGAAACTTTAAAAAACAAATCATAAATGTACAGTTCGATCGAAGCCAACTTTCTGGAAAAAAAAAAAAAAAAAAATTTTTTTCTGCAGGGATTGGGGGTGGGGGTAAAAAGTAATTAGCATAAATATAAACGTGTAGGTATTTTCTATTTCATGTACGCACAATACATGTGCAAATGTGTCCTTTTGTTTTGTTCCCCCCCCAAAAAAAAACCCTATTTGGGTTTTTCATATCCCTCAACTCGTGCCCCCCCAACCTGCCCAATTTAACCCCCTTCCTCCCAACAGGAAAAATAAAAAAAAAATAAAAAAAATAAAAATGAAAATAAATAAAAATAAAAGATCAAAATTTCCCCGTCTGTCTATCTTTTTGAATCCTCCTCCCCTCTGCACACTCAGTGTCCCCTGGGGCATATGCAGAGGTTACCAGCTTGGGAGAAAAAAAAAAAAAATAAATAAATAAAAAAATGAAATAAAAATAAATAAACTCTTTAAAATAATAAAAACTTCAGAATTAAATCATTTTCCAGAGGTCCAACAGTAAGAACATGTATGTGTATGTATGTATGTACGTATATATGTATGCACGCATGTCTCTCTCTTTCATGTCCGTGCAGTCAAGACTGCATGCTAACTGGCAGAAGGAGGGGGAGAAGATGACGGCAAGGAGGGGGACAGGGCAGTGGAAGTTGCAACCTGGCCCCCACTTCCTCTTCTGTTGTAACCTGGGTCAGCAGCGGTATTTGGGAGGGTATCAGATCCGCTGCAGCTGGTGGCGGCACTGGTCTCAACAGCTGACCCTTGACTGAGAACATCAGTTGCATTCAATGCCGGAATGCTTCCATTTTGAGGGTCAGCATTAACAATGGAAATTCTGTCAGACAGAGCTTTTGACTGAGTGAGGCTTCGACACTCTTTTTCAAATTCTTCAGGAGGCTATAAAAAAAAAAAAAAAAAAAAAAAAAAATGTCAATAAAATAAATTGAAAATGAAATAAAACAATTTTTTTTTTCTAAATAATCCATCCACTTATTTGATTTCACAATCTCTTGATGGAAATGTGTACAGAGAATGCTCATTGATATTTACCAGAGTCGGCCTTACAATACACCTTGTGGTATCTGTTTTGGTTCAATTATGTCAGATGTTGTAAAAATATGTTAGAATAGCTTTACAATGGCTTTCGATTTCAAGCAATGTTCGAAGATGTCATGCACATTTAGAAAAATTTCAAGATTTCATTATACCAATAACTTGTTCAGAAATTTTATATTTTTGGGTCTATTTTACTGAAATATTAGCCAATTTATAATTGTCATGGCCAATAGATCAGTATTATGGGAAGAAAGTGTGTGGCTGATGCCATTGGGACAACCACTTAAGAAAATAAATTCATACCAAATAGGTTTGGTTGTTTTTGTTTAGTGGCATATCAACACTTTTATGGGTTATTTAATGCCAAAATCTTAATATGAAAACTCCAACTTTATAATCAATTCAAGAGAATGACATTATTTCATTATTAAGTTATAATTACTTAGGCACATTTTTTTTAACCAAATAATCTTACAAAATCAAACAAGGAGTGAAAACTTGTTTCTCTCTAAAAAAACAATATTAATCATAGCAAATTGCATGCCATATCTTCAGTTTTATTATAAAATGTATTGCTGGTCATTTTTTTTATAAAAATGAATTGCTGGTATTTTTACTCTATCGTTTTGATCTTAGGTAGGAACCTAACAGGCACTAATACTCCTGCCTGGTAAATACTGGATCCATTGCTAGTGGATAATATCAATTTGGTTCGGAAATTTCAGTAAGTATTAGGTGGTACCAAAAGATGTTTCACCTATTTTGACTAAATATTTCCTGGTTAAAGCATAATATCAAACAACAGAAGTAAAAGAAAAGTTTAACCATGAAATGGGATTGATTTGTTTAACGCCATACCAACTCCATATGGGTCGTTTAATGCCAAAACTTAATATTCTTGGGAGCTCTGAAGTAATAAAAATGTTATTCTGCTTTCACAGTTTAATACATTGTAGATGATACTCAGCTTGTGTCCATATACTGGAGGCAGTGTTAAGCATGTTTTATGTTGTAATTTTGTTGAAGTTATATTTTGGAATACAGTTTGATTTCTTTAAGAAAGAATAGGATATCATACTGATTAATATCATGAAAGAATTCTGTCATCTTGGTTGATTTTGTTTAGCAGCATATCAACCTCTATGGGTTATTTAATGCCCAAATCTAAATATTTTGAATGCAATTTTATGGCTTCAACTAAATATATTTTAAATCTAATTGTATGTTTTCAACTACACATAAAATGTATTGCTGGTCATTTTACTATAAAAATGTAAATTATTTACATTATTCAGACTATTGTCCTCATCTTTGTCGCCATATTTATTACAATGTTTCAGCTGTTGTATGCTCCAGCCTTCTTCAGGGGGTTGGAATATCAAACTGAACCCTTTATTTCGCTCTGTTAGACTGTTCTAGGTCCTCAAGAACACATGGCACAGTGGATAAAGGCATTGGTTAGATCCAGTGACAGGACCCAAAGAGTGTGAGTTCAATACCCGGTTAAGGCAGTGGAGAACTTTCAGAGGGAAAATTAACAGGAGATAACTGATAACTGACATCCATTAAACATGGCACATGGAACTAGAACAGTCTACCCCAGTGAGCGAAATAAAGGGTTCAGTTCGACATTCCAACCACCTGAAGAAGGTCAGAGCGTACAACAGCTGAAACATTGTAATAAATATGGCAACAAAGATGAGGACAATAGTCCGAATAATGTACATAATACCTCATCTCAGAAATATAGACAGATATAAAAATGTATTTTTATACTTTCATAGGCTTTTGTTTTTGTTTAGGCGTTCACTATTTGCCTATGGCTGAGACCCTAACAGGTACTACCACCCCAGGTCAGGGTAAACCTGGGAACAACAGCAATTAAGAGGTACTTCCACACTCCTCAAAACCTCCCGATTAGAGGCCTTGCTGCCGGATGTAGTTTATCGTCATACCCAGGACTGCATAAAATGAGAAATAATGATTTTGAAATACTTGCTGCAGAAGGGTGTGCTATTGATGCCGTGTGGATAGTTGCAGCAATTGAGGGTGAGGCTTCTGTCTTTCTTGAAAAGTTGTTACTACTGCCACTGCTATTGCTACTGCAGCTATCCATGGAGGGACGTACTGATTCACTGTCAAATAAAAACAGAAATTAATTTACAATTTCAATCAAAAATAAGGGGATAGAGAGAGAAAAAAAATAAAATTAAAATTAAAAAGTAAACATTTTTAACTTGTTCATTCTTATCCTCATTCCCAGAAAATGATGGACTAAAAGAATTTAATCCAACATTTTCTGGGGAACTGTACTTTCAGCAGTGAAATCACAGCTTTAGATAGATTTGAACTTAAATCCCAGGCTTCTGAATTTGGCCCAAAACAGGACGATCATCAGCAGCCTTTTACTTGGAGTAATAGCAATTTTGCTAATTAATTTCAGGGTTCCCACAGATCTGTGTAAAAAATTCCAGGACATTTCCAAGACTATGTTAAAAAGTTTCAAGGACTGAAACTGGTGTAAACACACACACACACACACACAAAGTGAATGGTCATCAATTTCAAAAACACAAACTTTGTGATTTATTTTTTAATAGTTTGACAGACGAGATGCTCAAAGAAAAGGTACAGCCGGTTCCAATAATTCAGGTTCACATAGGTCAGTTGAAAGTAGTGATGAAATCCAAGTGTTGAAGGCTAAAACACAATTGAATGCAGATTTTAAATTACACACTTTAATTCTTAATGCTACACATTTCAACTATCTCGGCTAAAAATATTCCTGACTGCTGCACATCTCCTGTAAAGTTATGTACAATGGTTTTAATGAACAGAACTACAAATAGAAATTTTCACAAAAAGAATACATATTTTAGCTACGCCCCCTAACTACTTGTGGCTTTCATTGCACATGGCACAGAACACATGCTAACATTTTTTTCAATTCATCTAGTTTAGCATTCAGCTCCTCTTCCAATTTTGATATCGCGATGGATTTGTTCTTTGCAGTTCTTCACATGGCATTGGACTTTGTGATAAGTGTGAAGTTCTGAGTCTGCTCCGCTTTCTCCACATAGATGTCAGCTGACTTGAGAAAATCTTGCAGGCAACTTTCAAGCTTGTGTTTTTTGGTCAAGTTCTTCAATTTCCATAGGCATAGAAATCCATTTTTGTCCAGCTGCTTTTTCCTGCTTTTCCTGAACCTCAAGGTATTGGTTGTATGCTGTTCTGCAGAGATGAACCTTAGTCATGGAAACACTCCCAGCACCACCAACTGTGGCCAAATAGTCTGTGATGATACACCGTGTGACCAGAGTCTGCCGTTTCATAATGCCAGTGGAAATTTTCTTGTTGACTGAGAAACCTCTCTCTACTGAGGCCTGTCCATGATAGAATATCATCAATCTGCAAGGAACTGTTTAGTTTTTGATATTCTTTGTTAAACAAATCCAGACAGTCTTCATGCTTGCTGGAATTCTTGAAAGCAATATTAATTATTTAAAAGTAACATTTTTTTATTTTTTCAAAGATGCATTTTCTATCCTAAGACACATCAAAGGTACAATTTTCTATCATCCTTTTTGTCTACATTTTCTTTGAGTCAAATTTGATTCCCAAACTAGTTACTTTTGGCAACAATTTAGACAAGCGTCATTTACACATAGACACACATTAACACAGGACATGTAAAGTATCTTTATTTTTTTTAGCATGAATTCACCCACTGCTGACTAGAGATCAAAAGAACTTTTTATTTTTGAAATTGACATGTGAATAAAATTTCTAAAATTATTCAAATTTTAAAAAACACTGATGAATTTTTCAAAATTCCACTAAAATCTATTTTATTACTGTAAAATAATTTATTTTCTTTTCAACTACAAAATTCAATGAATGTGAATTAATTTATCTTTAACAGAGATGCCTTTCATCTTTGCTTTTCGTCTTTTTTTTTTTTGTTGAGTAAAGGTAGCAGTTAGAAGACACGCCTTCATATTCTTTATCATCTAGATAGGAAAATACAAAAAATAACTACAAGGTCATGAACTCATTCTAATGAAGGAAACAAACCACCAATTGCAATAATTGTCAAATATTACTGATGACTATAAAAAAAAACAAAAAAAAAACACAAGAAAAATGTAAAAAAGCCAGAATTCTAGGATTTGGCATTTTAACTTTTCTGAATTGAGAAAAGGTATGTGTGGACAGCCAAATTTAGAAAATTTCAAGACTTTTCAAGGAGCTTTTGGCCAATTGTTGTGTTTCCAGGACTTTTCGAGTCCTGGAAGAAGCTCTATCAATTTTTCAAGACTTTTCACAGTGTCCAGGACCCTGTATATTGCACAAGGATGCACGGTAGCGTAATGGATAGTGGCTCGGATTTAGGAATCAAAGAGCCAAGTTCAAATTCCAGTTGAGTTTGTTACATTCACTTACATACAAATACCCCCCCCCCCGCTCTCAGTAACTAGCAGGACAGACTGGGCACTATAGCTTTGAGTGGCTGTTGATCTAATCATACTTATTATAAAACCCAGGTTGTGTGTGTCTGTACGTTTATATATTGGATCGGATTTCCTACATTTTTCAACCGATTTCAACAAAACTTCACAGCACTACGTAAGATTACATTAAGGTGGTTCTGACACTGCCAAAAATTGGAAAAACAATTGTTTTTGCATGAAATCAATTTGAAAACATGATCAAGAGGTATCACGAGAATGAAAGGGGGACAACTCATATCAAGTTATACTTATAAAACCTAGGTGTGTGTGTGTGTTCATTTATATATGGGATCGGTTTCCTACATTTTTCAACCAATTGTAACAAAACTTCACTTTTTTTTGGGTTGTGTTTCTTATTGTCTTGCACACTTTTTCTTTATTTTTACATTCAGAATGCTTTAAAAATTCCATTTACAAGACAATTGTTTATAATAAAATTCTATTCAATCGATAGACTCATAATGATTGAAAACAATGTTTTTGTTTGAGTTTAGGTTTGACCAATTAAGTAAAAAAAAAAAAAAAAAAAAAAAAAACTAATTAAGACATGCATGTCTGTCAACCTTAAACAATAATCTTTGTCAATTTTATTTTTCAGTCTTTATGATGGTCGATACTTGATCTATCTCTTACTGTTACATCCCCGGGCAATGCCGGGCTCTACTGCTAGTCTGACATAAATTCACCTGGCAAATAGATTTATAGGTATTTTCATTGCACACACATCACTACTGAACATGACACAAGGTTGAGTTTTAAAGTGAGTTTAACAGCAATACAATGGAAAAATTGCTTAAGCCCACTTGGCACTTCTCCTTTTGGGAATGCCTCAAGCGATAAACCCAGCCCATTCCCGAAGAATTGGGCTTAATATTTTTTATATTTCCCTGGCAAATAGATTTATATTTATCTGGCCTCCCCAACAAGGCTGGATGTGACACAAGGCCATTTTAACATGGGAAGCACCATACACATACTTATACATATGAGCCAAGGACAAAAATTGATTTTTGCTCAACCCCTGCAACCACTCTCATGCTGGCGTCAGTATTACAGTCCAACTTCTTTAGTGCAATGAGGAAGGTACAGTCACGGTGTTGAAACCTCCATGACTGAGCAACCTCTCCCATGTACAGCACAAAAAATTAACCACGCCTCAGTAAATCCTCATTGGCTAATGATTAACTGCTGTGTCAGGTAAGTATGATTTATAGTGATTTTATAGGCATAGCTTAAATGTGGCACAAGGCCGAAAGTAGGGGGCACTCAGTGAGGATCAAACTCACTACTCGTAATTGTCCTAGCAAGACAAGTTTGCTAACCATTACACTGCCTCGAGGTGCCCCATGTATGATTTATATATCTCCATTGGAAAAACTATAAGTTTATATCAAACTCAATGGGAAGAACCCATTTCCACTGCAGGTGGAACAGGTCATCTTATTAAAGCACAAGTTTACATTAGCTAAAAACTATCAGTTCACAATACTTGTGCTGGGTAGTAATTACACATTTGAGCTATTTAATAACTTAACAGTTGCATCCAGTCTAAAAGGACAACTCTAAATTCCAAACCTCCAACTATAGGTTAAATAGACTCATCAGGCCGCAACTGGCCAAGCATGGTCAATCAGGGGAGAAGGGTTCTTCCAACAGAATTGAGAAGGCCCTTGATTTAGATATTACTCAAATACTGTAATATTTATCCTTAAATTTTGAACGTACTTTGCTTTTGAATGTTATTGATTAAAATTGTAAAGCAAAATTTAGTCTTGCTAAAATAAAATGTAATAAAAATTAAAACCTGTTAGTTTTTGTTTTAAAATGAATTCAACACATCAACATCATTTGAAAAATAAATAAGTGGCTCAGAAATAACTACACCCAGCTCCACAAATAAAATTAAAAAAATTTAAACAATCTAATTTTACCCAAATATTTCTGCAGTAGTACACTGGCAAGTTGGTTGGTCTCTTGCCTGCCTGAAAATTCAAATTAGCGAAAAAAAAAAAAAACAGGACATTGGCTTTTATATAACATTACTTAGATTACCTTGAACGCAAGACTACAGAAGCAGACACACACAAAAAAAACAAAAAAAAAAACAAAAAACAAAAAAACAAAAAAAAAAAAAAACATTTCACTTGAAAACGGTTCTATAGAACCATTAATATTTTTTTAATTCCTCCCAAGCAAGGCAATAATGCCACTAAGACAAAAGAAACCACTGGGAGTGAAAGAGAATGAAAAGACTTTAGAAGCATTTCTGAACAGGAAACAAGGGATAGACCTCTATTTCTGTTCAAAAGACCATAAAGGAGTATGAACCTGGATAATGTCTGTGCCATTCAAAACCCCATGTTTCACCTGAAGAATGTTTGCTAAAACCATAACGAAACAATTACTCTTGAACAGCAAGCAGAAGGATTGTTTTTATATGCCATGACCCTTCAGGATGTTTGGCGATCTTCTTCCATATTATCTGTGAATTGTCACAACTTCTTGATTGATTCATTCATCTTTTATGGCTTAACCTTTTGCAGGTCATTTAAAGCCAGGAATTATTTTTAAATTGCAAGAATTTGAGTTAATAATAGTTTAGTGATACAAGTCTTACTAATTACCCCATAGCTGGGGAAAGAAGAAGTGGATTCATACCTTTCTCAAGAGTATTTTTGCTTATAAGGGGAATATAATGAACCCAACAGAAATTGGAACTTGGCTTTCCAATTAACAATTCTGAGCCATTATCCATTACACCACCCACACATCTAAGCTTATAGCACCTGGTATTCCCAAGCAGTCACCCACCAAGGTACTGACCAGGCTGGACATTGCTTAACTGGTGATTGTACAGGAACTAGTGTTTCAATGTGATACAGCCGGAAGTCTGGGAGTGAAAGAGAATGAGAAGGATTTAAAAGGAACTGGAAACCCTTAACTCTTAAACAGAAAACGAGGGATATACCTCTACCTCTGTTCAATAAATGGGAAAAGAGCACGAACCAGCTCCTTCTTTAATGTTCACCCAATACAATGCCCAAGAGCCACTCAAGGTAGAGGGTTACTGCGTGGTGTTGTATGAACATAAGAAAGGACTAGCATTAGTAGTGTAGAGATGAAACAAACTTTAGAAGGAACCAGAAACCTAATCCTAAACAGCAAAAAAAGGATAAACCTCTACTCCAGCTCAAAAGACTGGGGAGGTGTATGAAACGGACAATAGGCAAGCCTACCTAGTCCTATTGCTGGAGGAGAGAAAAAAATTAAATAGAGAATAAAATTTCAGAGTTGGGGGGGGGAGATTTAGGAGTGCAGGGTTGAAGCTGACTTTAGAAGGAACCAGAAACAAGGAAGAAACCTGTTCAAGAATGTAAACACAGTTGTAAAACGAAAGACATTTTTTTTTTTCTCATTCAAAATTAAGGGGATGGTGAAAGGTTTTTTTGTCCAGAAATATTGTTCACTCACCCTGAGTATCCATGAAGGAAGGGGCAAGTGTCACCCTTAAAGCACTCCCCATCTTCCCAAAACCTGCAGGTGATTGTGCATATGTCATGTGCATACTTGCACTCTTGACGCCAACAGTTACCCTCCAAATAAAAACTGCATGGCTTTTTACAGGAGCCTAGAATTAAAAACAAACAAAATCATGATTAAGCAGACTCAGGCATTGAACAAAAACAACTTCAATTGAAATTCAGTTTTCATGTACTACTTCAGACAATCTGAATTAGCCTCACCATTTATCTTAATTATGGACACTTTTCACAAACTCCTATGTTCAGTCAACATACAAGGAACAATACTTGTTCAAATCATTCATTTGAGTTTCTATGATAATCTTGCTATCAACAGAGCTGGGCACTTCGAAGTGGTGTAATGGTTAGCAAGCTTGTCTCGCTAGAACAATTACGTCTAGGTAGTGAGTTCGATCCTCACTGGGTGCTCCATACTTTTGGCCCTGTGCCACATCTAAGCTACGCTTGGAAAATAACTACTATCAACAGAGCATTGCTTTATTTGGATAAGAAACAGATTTTCGTATAATTAATGACCCACTTCATTTAGCTTGTGGTATCGTTATATTGTTTTAAATTTTTCCATTTTTTTTTTTTTTTGATTGATTAGTTTTTTTATGGTTTATCAAACCTTTGTAGGTTATTTAAAGCCAGGAAATATTTTTAAATTCTAAGATTTTTTTCTTTTTTTTTTTGGAGATAATGGTTTAGTGATACAATTAATAATTACATAAAATTACAAATTGACCCATAGATGCAGGTAGAATTGGCAATTAACTGATGTTTTCCAAACTATTGCAATAAGCAATATAATAGTGTTTACTATTCTTGTTGTCAAGTGTCAAGAAAAATTCACTTCCATATGTTTAAGGTTTTATTACACTCCCAATCATCACTTTTTAAAATAAAACAATTGCCAAAAATGGAAGGTAGATAAAATAATAGCGTTGTGGGGGGGCATCCTTTCGACACTCCATTTTTTTTTTGTGGGCAAGAAGGTCCAAGTTTGCCAACAGTTGAAACTAAATGGTCTTATAAGCCATAGAAAACAAATAAATTGATCAAACAAATTAATTGTAAAAAGAGTTGCAAAATATTTTTGGCAGTGTTTCACCCGAAAAAAAAAAAAAAAAAAAAAAGTTTCAAAAGGATGTTTTTTTCCTGCTCATGCCACTATCAATTTAAACTACCGAGACTCCCTTGGCAATGTTTATTTACAAGATTATAAAACTAAGTACAATGGGATATTTATTATTTACCAGTTTATAAAGAAATATATTTAAACAGAAACTGTTTTATTCAAAAACTCTTAAATTTTCAAAAATGTGTGAACAAACTACAATATTTATTATTTACCATTTGATAAAGAAATAATGAAAACTTTTTTTTTTATAATTTTATAACAGTATCTATAGAACAAGACAAATAAACACAATATTCTGAACATTTCCATAAAATTATTTTATCTCTCAGATTATTTATGGCATTACAGTTTTCCTATTTTTATTACAGTGTAACCCGGATATAAGAGAGTTGTCGGGACCGGAGAAGAAGTCTCTTATATCCGGGTTTGGTCTATTTTGTTTACATTAACACAGGCTCTAATTCGGGACCAGAGAAAATTTCTCTTATATCCGGGTTACACTGTATAAAGGATCAATTCCAGCAATTATAGGTTGAAACACTTTTTACACTTTCTTTGAAAAACATTATTGAAAAAGTTTTTAAAAATCTCCGCTAATCTTTGTAAAAATGCCTAGAAAATCTTGACTTAAGCCTGGGTCCACAAGCAAAAGGGCCCAGTACAATTCTTACAAATTTTGTAAGGAGCCCATGACTTATCTTGATCCATAATCTTGTTATTTCTTCCATAAAGATTATTGTTGGGGCATCCTTGGTTTTGTAAATATGTTTTTTGTTCACTATTTACATTATTCAGACTATTGTTCTCATCTTTGTTTCCATATTTATCACAACGCTCCGGCTTTCTTCAGGTGGTTGGAATGTCGAACTGAACCCTTTATTTCGCTCACTGGAGTAGACTGTTCTAGTTCCACATGCCATGTCTAATGGATGTCAGTTATCTCCTGTTAATTCCCCTCTCCAAGTTTTCCACCGCCTTAACCAGGTATTGAACTCACACTCTTTGGCTCCTGTCACTGGATCTAACTAACGCTTTTCTCCAATGTGCCATGTGTCCTTGAGGACATCTGGATATGAATTTCTGGGTAATATTGAGGAAATATAGACAGATGTTTTTCATTATTAAATATTCCTCAAAGAAATTTTACGTTAATAGAATTTTTTCCACACACACACTGACACATGTTAAAATCCTCACTGTATTTATTATTGTTGAAGTTATCACTGACATTTTTTGACGAGATTTAAACTCTACATTTTATTCAATTTCATAAATTCAAAATTTGAATAAGCTGATTTGTTTGGAAAAATATTGTGACAAAAACCCTACTTCAGTTTAATAATTTCTTTAATTTTAGCGGACTTCATGGTAAACAATATTTTTTTTTTAACGAAAATATCTTTTCCTTTTTAACAGCAAAGAAAAATTCTTTAATTTTTAGATTTCTTACCCTTGAGCATGCGACATACAACTAGCCATACATAAACATTTCTTTCTTGAACCAAATTCCAACTTTTTCAAGCGTTTGGCCTTGGGATTTGTTTATAGTTCTTGCAAATGCAGAACTGGAAACTGGATTCTTATATATAAAAACTTAAAAGATATGCAAAAAAAAATATTGCATTTTTATTAAATAAGTATTTGTTATTTTAATTATTGAATTGTTTTTAAAATAGTGGGAGTATTTTGAATGTTAAATAATAAAACTTAATTTTTCAAAAAAAAAAAAAAAAAAAAAAAAAAATGAATGAAAATTTATTATACTTAGCTACACACCCTAGCAAAACCAACCGTACTTTCTAGCCCCTTACCTGCTTGCACTTCTCCCCAAAGTTTGGTTTTGAGCAGTCAATATATGGCTGTTTTAAAGAGTGAAAGGGACAGACAGAAAACAGAAAATTTTATATATAGAAGGATACCTAAATAGAAATCAAAGGCCTAAAACTACAGCAATTATAGGTTACCCACTCCTTACTTAATCTTTCTGAAAAATGATTTTTTTTAAATTGTTGCTATTTTTTTTTAAATCCCGAGAAAATCTGCCAATGTATTATTTATTGTCAGCAAAGTGCTTACCGATGAAGAAATCTTAAATGAAGACTGAACATTTATCTTGACTAAAGCGTCTGGCAAATTGTGTTTTTTGGAATGTTGACAAAACATCAGAGAATTACCAATTGATTCAAACTTTATAAAATGGTAGATAAAGATCTCATAATAGTTGATTTACATATTTTAATAATTTAGTAAATTTTTATAAATTTATAAATACAAAAAATTGTTTTTTTCTTTATAAATTGTTAAATGATAGACATTGCACTGCATTGGCTCACTGTTTTTTTTTTTTTTTAGAATGTTGTAAATAAGAAATTATTCTTGTAAATAATCAATTTAAGCAATCTAATAAATAGTGTTTATTATTTTTGTTGTCAATTCTCAAGAAAGAAAATATATAAATTCACTTTCATATGTTGAGCTTTTGTTAAAATTTTAATCATCACTTTTTAAAAACAAACATTGCAGAGGGAGTGAAGGCAGTTAAAATAATAGTGGCAAGAAAAAAAAAGAAAAAAGAAAAAAAAAAGGAAAAAAAAGAAAAAAAAAAAAAAAAAAAAAAAAAAAAAAAAAAAAGAAAAAAGAAAAAAAAAAAAAAAAAAAAAAAAAAAAAAAGAAAAAAAAAAGAAAAAGAAAAAAAAGAAAAAAAAAAAAAAAAAAGAAAGAAAAAGAAAAAAGAAAAAAAAAAAAAAAAAAAAAAAAAAAAAAAAAAAAAAAAGAAAAAAAAAGGAAAAAAAAGGAAAAAAAAAGAAAAAAAAAAAAAAAAAAAGAAAAAAAAAAAAAAAAAAAAAAGAAAAAAAAAAAAAAAAAAAAAAAAAAAAAAGAAAGAAAGGAAAATGACATTTGGAAACACCATTTTTTGAAGTTTAAATATTGGCATATTTTTCACCAAGGCATACAAGCACTTCTTCAAAATATATGAGTCTTATCCAGTGGTGACAAAAAACTGCAATGAACAGATACATTAACAAATAGCCATGGCAATAATATCCAACTGAAAATTTCTGGTATATTCATTGTATATAAATAACCCAAAATAACTAATTTATCAATAAGTCATCCTGGATGATTTTGAATTGTGGTTTTCTGTCATGACGAGAGTCCAAATTTGACTAACCAAAATGCTCGTCATGGAAATGTTTTTGTTTTAAACAGGATTAGCTTTCACAATACACAAAATTTGTTTGCCCTTCATGAGGCGATCCGTTCCATTAAATAAGTTGTAACACATCCAGGGAAGGAAAGAAGAGGGGAGGAGGGAAGGAAAGAAGAGGGGAAGGAGGGAAGGAAAGAAGAGGGGAAGGAGGGAAGGAAAGAAGAGGGGAAGGAGGGAAGGAAAGAAGCGGGGGAAAGAAAGAAAAGGGGGAAGGAGGAAAGAGGGGAAGAAGGAAAGAAGAGGGGAAGAAGGAAAGTAAAGCAACTTACGTGATTTCTCATGCTGCATTTTAATCCGCTGCACTGAAGCAGCAGAACTGCTACAACTGGTTTCCCCACTCAACCATTGTTTCTCTAATTCGCTGGAGTAGACCGCTGCAGAGGGCAGCGGAACCAAAGGAGGCGGACCCAAGCTCTGCAATAAGAATGAAAAAATATCTCAGTCAATATAAAACATATAGATTCTTTAGTAACAGCGGACATATACACAGTAATGTGTGCACACATGCAAAATGTAACCAACAAGACTCTTGTCAAAAATACTGACATTAAATTTCTGATAATGTCCAACACTGGCAAAAGGTGCTTACAAAATAAAATAATAAATAAATAAAAATGAGAGCAAGGAACATGAACTTTGAACCAAATGTGCAGCAACATATTTGAAAATTTAGAAGGACTACTCTGAATTCCAAACCTGTAGAGGATCATTTAGGGGACCTTGTGGCAAACTGTTCACCAGTTCTGTACATTTTTTACGTTTTAAAAATTATATTTCACAATTAAAATTAGTGGGATTTATGCATATAAGAAAAAAAAATTATTAAATTGAAAAATTTTATTTTTGTGTTGTGAATATTCATTTTTAAATTTCTAAAGAATTTTTTTTTTAATTAAAGGGAGATTACTTGTTCTTATTTAAAAAAAACAACAAAAAAAAAACGAAAAAAAACATTAATTTATATTCAAAATAAATAGTTAATTTACATTTAAAATTAATCTGGATCAATGTATTTAAGCAGATATTTATTTTTATCCCTACATGTAACCATCAATTCATTTCTCTTGTTTAATAAGCTTAGATTATTTAAGTGTTTTAAGATCATCAGTTTTTCAACAAGACATAAGTTACATTTATTTCCTTTTCTGTTATAAGATTTGGCTCTTGCTATAATATTCCAGTTAATAGAAAGGGAACTACCATTATTTTTTAATTGCTAGAAATATTTAGAGAAAGCAGTGCTGATTCTGTATTTTATATTATCATTCGATGATGGTAGAGACAAAATTTCCAAAGATTTTCAGTGGAACCAAAAGAAAATTTAACATCGTTACCGGAACATAAGTTCACTCGGTATAAAATATTAAATAAGACCAAGAACAGCATATAATATAAATAAGAACAATTAATTTCCAATTAATTAAAATTTTTTTCTAAAAAATTAAAAAATGAATATTCACAACTCAAAATTCAAATTTTATTTTTTCCTTATACACATTTATAGAATTCCCACTTATTTTAATTACAAAATATAATTTTTTTAAATTAAAAAACTGTAACCCCAGCATAATATATAACTATGCCAACATTGTGATAATCACGTATATTAAAATTCAAATTACATAACGGTCAGTTCATACTCAGCACCTGAACTTTGTATTGTGCATAAAACTCATGTTAGTAGTGAGAGATATTATATATATATATATATATATATATATATATATATAGGTCTGTTATTGGTTTTTTATTGTGTGTTTTATATATATGTATATATATATATATATATATATATATATATATATATATATATAAAAGCTTAAAACTACCCCTATCAGGCAGCATGTAGGCTAGCTTTTTGATTGGGCCTTGACTTGTTCAGAAGTTTGAAAATCTCTAAGTTTTTGCATATTCTCAGGATTGGAAGTTCTCCTGGCTGCTGTTTGATGTGGGTTTCATTAGAACAGGACTTTTTCCTCACTGCAGTCTGGGTTCTTTTTGATTGCAATCTGATCCTGTTGGCAGAGATTTCTTTTTGCAAGGCATACTGTTGCCATATGCAATAGACTACATAACCCAAAATTGATTGCAGGATTAAGTATTGCATTAATGTTTAAGCTTACCTTTTAAAAGTTCAATGATATTTCTTCTGCTTCCACTTATTTTAATGACAATTTGATGTACGCAAGTGTTTACTTTCTGTATAAATAATTATTTTTATTTCCTGGGTGACTTTCGCAAATCCCAAAATTTATTCCCAAGTTATAAAAATTGTTATCACACAAAAAAAAAATATCGACAAAATTTTAGTATTGCGGGTCTGGATCTGACCTGGAACGTTTTTAATTTGCTCACAGAGTTGGCCTGATTCCACAGCCTCTAGGATTAAAGTCGAACAAATGTGACACACTGACATTCACATATATATATATATATATATATATATATATATATATATATATATATATATATGGTTAGGATAAGAAAACAAAGACACTACCAGATGAAATAAAATGCCTACCAGACACACATGTTCACAAACAAATCCTACACGGACTAACTAAAATTATAATACACACATACAAGGTACTTGAGGAGGTAGTGCTGCCCTGGTTCAAGGGGGTGGCTGCTGGAAGACCCTATGTCTGGAAATAGGACTCTGCACCATGCCACGCAAGCAGGAGAACCCAGTGATGGCTGTCAGACAATTTCTGTGACCACATCACCTCTTGCATCTGACCACCTAATTCCCCAGTCTGCAACCCCCTTGATTATTACGTGTGGGGTGCAGTTGAGTGAGAGACTAATAAAACTCCTTTTAACACCAAAGAGGACCTGTAGGCAAGGTTTATGGCAGCATTCACCAACTTAAAGGAGGAGACTGTCCAGAAGAGTTGCAGGAGATTCTGAAGTTACCTTGAGGCACTGGTTGAGGCCAATGGCAGTTTTATAGAATAAATTTACTGTTTAGTATTTCAAGATAGTTCCATGTAATTTTGGTAAATATATCTATATATCTGTTAAAATGAGATGTCAGTGTTATTTTCATGTTTGCCTAACGTAGATGACAATTCATCCATTGCACGCTGTAAATGTTTTTATTTATTGATGGCTGTTGTATGAATATTGCTTCAAGGATTATAAATCTGTTTTTACAATTTGATTTTCCTAGTATTTTGGTATTGTTTATGCTGCTTATTTATGTTTTGTCTAATGACACTATGGTCCAATAGGTGGCAAGTGAGTCTCCATTAAAGTGTGGTTGGAGTATATCCTATGTTATATATATATATATATATATATTAAATAAAAACAGACCACTTTAAGGTTCCATGTAATAAATTATTTCACACAGCCCTTTTAAAAAATCTGCGGGATCATCAGACTTTACTTCCAAACAAACTTCTTTTTTGTTTGGAAGTAAAAGTTCGATGATCCACAGTCCTTTAAAAGGGCTGTGGTGAAATAATTTATTACATGGAACCTTAAAGTGGTCTGTTTTTATTTAAATTATTTGCATGGATTTACATTGAGCTCTCTGGATTATATCCTCCTTAGGTTTACCCATATGGATTACCTAGTTTTTCATAAACTAACTATATATATATATATATATATATATATATATATATATATATAAATATAAATAAAGCAAATATATGGATATAGATCAGACAGTATGAAGAAAATATACGGAAAAAACAAACAAAAATCCTAATATGCAATTATGCTGTTTTAATGTTAATATAATGTCAACGTCGGATGATGACGTGATCATATTTAAACGGAACGCTGATTTTATAAAAGATTTCAGTTATCTGTTTGGATTGGTCTTGCTTTTATGTCCATCGTCTTTTTCATGTTGAATTGAATATGGTCTATGTTAATTATGTTTTATGAATATGTCCTGAAGATGGTCTATTAGACCAAAACATCCGACGTTGACATTATATTAACATTAAAACAGCATAATTGCATATTAGGATTTTTGTTTGTTTTTTCCATATATTCATTATATATATATATATATATATATATATATATATATATATATATATATATATATATATATAATTACAAAAGAAAACAAACCATTTTTATCTTTTATTCCTTCAGCATGGAAAAATCTTTTATATTTGTGTAACAAGGTCTGAAGAGTTGGGGTTGAATTTTCCAACCTTAACGAAATAAATATCACCTCATGGTCATTTAAGAGTTTGTTTTCTTTATAATAATAATTATTATTGCTCTGTTTTTGACAGAGCTCTCCCTGAATCTATATCCTTTGGGAAATATCCATACAGATTACTAATATTATCATTATTTAATAAACAGTGACTATTACTGCTAATACTGCAAAGCTAATCTATGAAGTGAGCCCTCTCGGTCATTGGTGTGTTTATTCAAAGAATAAGTAAAATCCACCTCCCTCTCTACCGGGCGCTGATAGTTCAGGGTTAAAATCTCTGACTGATGCCAATTCAGTCAGGTTTCAATCCTGGATTGAGGCAATCGGATGTCTAGCCACACTGATAACCTGTGATACGGTGAAACAGTCAGTCTGTAGATGACTGTATATATATGTGTGTGTGTGTGTATGTATATATAGGAGGCACGGTGGAGTAATGGATATCGGCTTGGATTAAGGAATCGTAGAACCGAGTTCGAATCCAGGTTGAATCCATTACATTCACTTATGTGCTAATACCCTTGGGAAAGGTGTGAATCCTCTTCTTCTCCCTCCAGCTATGGGTAAAATAGCAGGACAGACTGGGTTCTATAGCCTTGGATGGCAACTGGTCTAGGAGAAGGACAACTCTGAATTCAAAACCTGAGGGGGGTTGTTTGGGAACCTTGTGGCACGTAGTGCACCAGGTTTCTGTATTCGGCCCTTCAAAAAGTGTGGATGGTTCTGCACGAAACCTTCAACACTAATCGAATCTCATGTGCCGGTGTCGGGTTGTCAGTTTCCTGGAAACTGATCTGCTTGACCCTCATACGTCAAACCCGACGGGAGAATATATATATATATATATATATATATATATATATATATATATATATACACACTTGGGAAATTGTATGACAAAGTGGAAAAAGTGAAACATTTTGGCGTTCCTAAATTTATTATGTTGGTACGACTACACATGCACATTAACAAGGGGTGCTGAGGATTCTAGAACTTTAAAAATATTTTTTTTTAATATTTAGTTAAATTCATTTACATTCTTTTTCTTTTCCATCACCTTTATTAGAGGTATCAATCACACACTGTGATAATAGAAGATCTGCCAGTAATGGTAAAATGTTGTAATTTCTTTGGTAGTTCAGTATGAGAATACACAGTAGCTTACAGCCTCAAACCAAAACTATTAAGAGAGAAGGAATCTTTATGTTAGCCCAAAGTATCCTTCACCAATTTCAAGACCGTCCTGGGTAAGATGATAAACTATGTCCAACAGCAAGGCCTCTGATTAGTAGGTTTTGAGGATTGTGGAACCACCTCTTAATTGCTACTGCTCACAGGTCCACCTTGACCTGGGGTGGTAGCACCTGTTAGGGTCCCAGCTGTGGGCAAATAGTTGACACCCAAACTTGTATAAAAATAGGTTTTAATACCAGAAATACTTTGTAATAAAAAAAATTTAAAAAAATAAAAATAAAAAATTACCAGTAATAATTTTTTTTGAAGGAAAAATTATTATCAGCAATACATTAAAAAAAAAAAAAAAAAAAATATACCAGTAATACAAACAGCTATACATTCTTTGAAAAAAATATGACCCGCTATAGATTTCTCCAAGGAAAAATATTCACAGAGTAATTTATGAATTATTTTTATATTAAAAAAAAAAAGCTTTCTTTTTAACACCTTCCCTGCCAATTATTTTGAGAAAAAAAGTTTCACTTTCAGATGAATTTTTTTTTTGTTTGTTTTTAATATAGTGTGACAGAGAGAAAGTCTAAGAAACACACACGAATATTCTTTTTTAGTGAAATTGGAGTAGATTTGAGCAGCTGTTATTTCTCGTATTTTAAGTTGGAAATAGCCTACTACTGTTTTAGAACGAGGCTAAATTTCTGTTTTCAAACGCTATTTTGAATTCTTCTACATGAGATGTAAAATTAATTAAACCCAAGTTAAATTTTTCACAAGTTTTTGTAAACAAAAATGGCCGCCTCAACATCCAACAAAGCTTTTATTCAGGAGTATTTTTTGATTTGGACTCCGATAATGGTTTTGAAGGCTTTACTCAAGTGGATATTGACAGTGATGATAACCACACTCATGACGTGGAGGAAAGTGATGATTACCACTAGGTGCCAAGCAGCTATCATCCATGGCTAACTAATTCTACTGAAGCTACTTGCCCCAATGGATGTACCTGATAGCCTTTCTGAAGGTGAATTATTTCACCTATTTGTAAACAACATATATGAGACAAATAAATATGCTAGTCAGGTGAAA